CCACCCAAAAGGTCCCTGTGTTAGAAGAACTATGACACTTTTTAAAAAGTCTTTTTAAACCCAGATGTTTCTCAGGGAAAATGTGCTAAATCGTCACAAAGTGGAAACTATTCAAAGCCTTACCATAGCTCTAGGTTGGGAAAATCAAATCCTACATAGAGAGTGACCCTATCAGAACAATAAAGTGGGCTGTGGCTGGGCATGGGGGCAAGCCTGGAAGTCCAGCACTTAGGAGGACTCTGAGGAAAAAAAGATGATAGATGATAGATAGATAGATAGATAGATAGATAGATAGATAGATAGATAGATAGATCATAGATAGATAGATGATAGATATAGATAGATAGATAGATAGATCATAGATAGATAGATGATAGATGATTGATAGATAATAGACAGACAGACAGAATAGATAGATGAATAGATGGATAAGCTGGGGAGGCAGCTCAGCGACAGTGCTTGCTTAACATATACAAACATAAGGTTGGATAGCCAGCACTACAAGGAAAAGAAAAAAGAAAAAAACAGACTGGAGTGCGCTTCCATACTCAAGGGGACTCACTCCATCTGTGTTAACAATTCAACTCGTCTCCCCAGGAAGCCTTCGCAGATGAACTCTGTCATCCAGCATCTCCTGGCATTTGGGTGTTCGCAGTGTGTTCTACTATAGATGGCACTGGGACTGCCCTCACATGCTAATCCTTCCTCCCAGACCTTTAGCTTCACAACAGACAGAAAACATTATTCTACAATCATCCACCACTGGCAGCCCCACCTCGTTTCTCCACTGATGTGGCATACAGAATCACATTTACTCACGTCCCTGACTGCATATTAATCTGTGATATTAGCCACGTTCACCAGGCTAAAGCCAAGAAACACAACAGTCCAGATAGCTGAGAGAAGGGAAACAGTTATCTGGCTTTGTCTGAATCTCACAGGGTATGAAATGGAGCTTAAAATGGTGATTTGAGGCTAGAGGATATTAGAACAATGTGTTGAGGAAAGAAAGTAGATTTGTCATTTTCTTGTAGAAAAATACTCAAGGGAAGGCACCTGTCTTCAATGTATTAATAACTTTTTACTGTATGATGGTAATGGTAATGGAGTTTCACACATGCCTTAGGAAACAGGATATAGTCAACTACTCCCCACAGTATAAAGGAACAAACCTAAGCTCAGAAAAGCAAAATAAAATGCCCATGGCAACCCACCCAGCAACAGTGCCAAAGCCACGTGTAACCCTGACCTTCCAGGTCACATGTAAACCTGACCTTCCAGGCTTCAAGGTCACCAGCCTTTTCCTCACCGTTTCTTTGCCCTTTTACCTATTTAATTTTTTTAGGTGTGGCTGCTGAAAAGTATGGATTATTGAACGTAAGATTCCTGGGACATAGTAGACATTTTGTTTTTATTTTTTATTTTACGTGTATGAGAGTATTGCCTGCATGTATGTAAGTGTACCTGTGTTATGCAATGTCTGTGAAGGTCAGAAGAGGGCACTGGATCCCCTGGAACTAGAGTTACAGACGGTTGTTAGCCACCATGTGGGTGCTGGAATTCGAACCCAGGTCCTCTGCAAGAGCAGACAGTGCTCTTAACTCCTGAGCCATCTCTCCAGGCCCTCCTAGGATATTTTAGAAACTGTGTGTCACACCTGAATGACAAGGACAACAATTATTGTCCAAATTTCATACTGCCTGGGCTCAGGACACATTTATAACCCGATCACTAACGTGTGTGATGCTGAAGTCACAGCTCACAGCTGAAACAGATTATCTTTGCTTTGGGGTATACGTTTGTTCCCCACTAGCTCCCATCTTGATGTGCTCCCTTTCAGAAACTAAACTTCTGATCACCAGCCAACAGAAAATAACAATGACCAAAGCCAGCCAGCTGGACACACAAGCAGAGGAATGTTTGGGAACAACTTCTCAAAGCCAAGGGCAGAGTCTCGGAAGAAGAGATATGCAGGCACTCCCACTTGGTGCCCCTCCTACACTCCTCATCTCGTTCTTCTCTGAACATAAAGTCATTTTTAGGAAAGAGCAAGCTGGGAAACGGCACACCATTACATGTGCACCCTTCACAAACAAAAGCGATGGCTAAGGACATGTACTTTGAAGGGTTTTTTTCAATATAACTATACTTCCTTTTGCCCAATAAGAGATATACTCAAGGGGAAAAATTTTTTTAAAAGGTCAATCAAATATTTGTAAAGAGAATCATATTTGCCCAAGAAATAAGATTTAAAAAAAAAAAAATAAGACATAGCTCACAGCTGGCCTGGAACTCCCTATGTAGACCAGGCTGGCTTTGAACTTGCAGTAATCTTCCAGCCTCTGTCTTCGGAGTATCAGCATTATAAGCTAATTTTATCAAGCCTGCCAGAAGAAACAAGATTCATGGTCTTGTAGGGACTTTTTTCTTTTCGCAACTGTTTTCAGACAGGGTCTCATGTACCCCAGGCAAACCTTAAGTTCATATAGAGAGAAGTACTGGAGAGTGGCCTTGACCTCCCGATCCTCCTGCCTGGGGTTACAGGCATGTGCCACTATGACCAAGTTTAGCGGGTGCGAAAGATAGAACCCAGGGCACTGTGTATTGTAGGCAAGTATTTTACCAGCAGAGCTATATCTTCAGCCCTTTAATATAATTCTCAGACCATTCAGCCACGCTGCTGCTGCCACTGAAATACAATTCTTTTTTGGTCTTTTTGAGACAAGGTCTCCGGTGGCCTGGAACTCACTATGAAGACCAGGCTGGCCTTCAACTCCCAAAGATCTGCCTGCCTGAGATCTGTGCTGGGATTAAAGGTATACGCCACCAACCCAGGCCTGAAATACAATTCTTATGTTAATATTTTGGAGCTACTTTACCATCATCACTCTGATTTCCACTTAAGAATGGTACTTCTCCCTTTTACCCTCAAATTTGACAAGCAGCTCATGAATAACAAGTAAATGTAATAATTCCTCCACTTTTAAGGAAATCTGTTACAAGCCCTTCTTCAGTTTTTTTTGTTGTTGTTTAGGTTTGGTTTGGCTTTTTTTGTTGTTGTTGTTTTTGTTTGTTTTTGACAGAGTCTCCCTAGTTCCAGCCTGCCTGGAAGTTACTATGTGGATTGCAGAGATCCACCAGCCTCTGCCTCCCAAGGGCTGGGATCAAAGGTGTCCCACACCACGCCCGGCATGTGCTTTGTTTTTACATTAACCTTTTTTACAGTACAGCGCATGTGCAGAGGATTACTCCGGACCACAGCACCTAGGATACGGAGATACACAGTTGTGGAGACACTGTCCTGGTTTCCAGTGGAGCCTCCCAAGCTTCAGTCCTGTCCTTGCTCTCATTTGCATAAGACAGCAAGCTAACTCACTGCTATGTGACTCTAAAAGATGTGTTTTGCTGTTCATGGTATCACAAAGATCTTAATTCAAGATAAGGAAAGTCACCTGTAACAGCTAAACTTTCCTAGATCTAGACTCCCACGTTTTAGTTCCATTTCTTTCTCTCTCTCTTTTTTTTTTTTTTTTTTTTTTTTTTTTTTTTTGTCATTTTTTGAGACAGGGTCTCCCTGCAGTCCCTGGAGGGACTGGCCTGGAACTGGCTATGTAGACCAGGCTTGCCTGGAACTTACAGAGATCCACCTGCCTCTGTCTCCTGAGTGCTGGGACTAGGGACCTGCGCCACCACTGCCCGCCTAGTTCCATTTCTTAAAAACAGAAATGTATGTCCACATGTATGCTCACTGGCAGCCAAAAAGGTAAAACAAACTTGGCCAATGAGCTGAGCAGATTTCCACACTGGCTCCCATCATGTGAATGTTAAAAGTTTAGCCCAGCTTAGTGGCTCAGGCCTTTCATCCTGCCTAAACAGGAGGCAGATTCAGGACTGCAAGTTCCTGCCTAGGCAACAGAGTGAGTTCAGGGCAAGCCTGGGCAACTTAGTGATACCCTGTCTAAAAATAAAAAGCAACAAAAGCTCTAGGGATACAGCTACGTGGCAGAATTGAAAAACCCTAGGTTCAAACCTCAGTACTGCAACCCATCAGCCAGCCACCAATAACTGTCAAGCCTTCAGGTCTGAGTTAAGGGAAGTGACAGGCCCAAGGTTACAGTCATTACGACCCACACCAACCTCGAAAATACTGCAGCACCTGACTGCTGTTTGCTTTTGCTGGCTGCAGTGGGCTGTGCCATCTAATTGGGCTCAGCTAGGGGAGCTGGGGTCTCCTGACCAAAATGACACTAAAATAGGTCAGCAGAGAATTTCCCCCAAACAAACCCAGACTATCTTCAATCAGGTGACATCCGCTAGGTTAAAACTAAGGGCTGAGTTTTACAATAAGCTCATGGACACAAAGCCTGACTGACCAAGGGTATCTAGAAGCCCTGCCCTGCCAACCAACCGTATGAAGTAGCGCACAGCCAAGTTTCAATATGTTTTTAAACGAACAATATTTCAACAGAGCAACCAGGTCGGAGGCTCTGCCACAAACATCTCAGCATCCTGGGGCTTCTGCAGCTTCTCAAATATCCTAAGCGCACCGGGAGGTCTTAAGTAGGCAGATCCACACCCAAGCATTTTTTTTGGAGCAGCTCTCCTTAATCCCACGGGCACTCGGCCCCACCCCATCCCCACAAAAGTCTTGACTTGCTAGACTGCACTTTTCCAGGTGCAGGGTCTAGGAGCCGAGAGGCGGGGGGAGGGTGGAGAGAGGACCGGAACACGTCTGGGAAATCCAAAGGGTGCAGTGCCCACGGGCTGCAGGGGCCTCCCCTGGCGACAGTCCTCCCCGCGATCCCTCCGCAGGCTGCTGGGTCCGGGCGTGTCCGCCCCCGCTCGGAGCACCCGCTAGGCTTTCGGTCTTTCCAGAAGCTGGGTGATGCGTCCCTGTCCGGGGAAACCTTGCTGCAGAGAGGGGACTGCGCGCCCTGCCTCTCCCAGGTGCGCGTCCCTACTGCAGTCACCGCTCCCTTGGACCCGCAGCCCCGGCTCACCTCGGCCCGCGCCCGCGCTGGTGGCCGTGGAGTTCCCGCAGCCCATCACGCCGCCGGGGAAGCCACTCTCCGGAGCTCTTGGCCGCCGCAGGTCCTGGGGGCGGAGACCGAGATGGAGGCGGCGCGGCGATCAGGGAGCGCGCGGGACCCTCCCCACCGTGGGGACAGCCCTCGCCCCCGCCTCGCCTCGCGCGGGGACCCCGCCGGACCCACCCATCACCGCGGCAACCGCGGCGCCGTCCAATCTGCAGCCTCCTGCGAGCTCCACGGCCGGGCATTGGTGGTGGTTCAGAGGGGGCGGGAGTTTAAAGTGGGGTTTGCTGGGGGGCAGGGCGAAACCGATGGGCGTGGTCCATTCAAATGGGGCTGGGGAGCGCGGGATACCCACCTGTCCACTCTCGGCTTCCTCTTTACCATCTTTCTTTCCTCACTTTCCCTCCCTGCCCCCACCCAGGACGTGGGGAGGAGAGGAAGTGACTGAGAACACCTGCCTTGGAGCATCCTGGGTGTCCCAGGAAGAGTGATTGACTAAAACGCTGTTGAGGTCTGAAGCTAAACCAAAACCGTGCTTTCACAGACAACTGATGCAGCTCCGTTCCCCCCGACCACACTGCCTAGAAGACTTCTTCCACAGACCTACTTCTCTTTAAAATCAGTGACTACTGCCAGATCTGTAACTGGATTCCCAACCTGCTCTCTCATTTAAGGCAGAGCTATGAATGTACATGGTCCTTTTCAACCTAATAGTTGGGCAAGTGTAACCGAGGTCAGATTGGGTTATAACGTGTAAGTGTAAATGGTCAGATTGGGTTATAAGCCCTGCTATACCACCTGATAGCTGTGTGACTTCAGCTTGGGAAATGACGGCAACTGGTGCCTCTAAAACACCCAACACAGTACCTGAGCCTCTGTCCATGCCAACCGCGAGCAGGAAGGCAAGGATCCACCATTTCTTACTATCCTCTGGGCTCGCAGTACAGATTCAATAAATGCACTGAGTGGTGAACTCAAGCCAGGAATTAAAGCGCCATTTTAAACTCACTTGGTATTTATAGAGCAACCAGCCTGTGCCAAGTCCTTTGCTAAGTTCCGGGGATACAGACTTGAGGGAGACAGTTTCACCAGGCAGACAAATTATAAACAAATTAGCTTCAACAAGCAGAAGGAATGCCAACAGAGGGATGCATAAAGGCAGGGCTTACAAGATGGTCCTAAAACCACACAGGTGAGTTAGAGAAAGCCATCTAAAACAAAGCTCCAGCAGACTTTTTTTTTTTTTCAGTAAGTTAGTTCTTTGACAATTCATACATGTTTATAATGCATTCTAGTTACTCTCCCCCTCCCCATCCTCTCTTATACTCTACACCCCCCACCCCCACCCTCACTAACATCTCCCTTCTCCCTGTCCCTTTCTCAGATTCATTTTAGTTTTGTTATGTGACCCTTTCAGTTTAACCAGGGTCATCTATATGTGACCATTGGATTGGGGCTATCCTTTGGAGCCAGTCAACAGTGGATACACAACTGAAGGCAATGACGCCCCCCCCCTTACCTGAATCTATCCATAAGAAGTGAGGCTTAGGATCCCCTGAGACAGTCCTGCATCCATACCTGGCTGTTGAGGGGCCCATTCTTATGCAAACCAGTGAATTCATTCATAGTCATCGAAAGTTTGTTTGCAATGACTGTGTTTTGCCTAGAAGATGGCATTTCACAGCCCTTCTCCTTATCTTCTGACTCTTTTGATCCTTCCTCCTTCTCTTCTGGAATGTTCTCTGATCCATGGAAGGGCTGTTTAGGGCTAAGCATTCAACCATCACTTTCAGCGCCATCTGTAATCATAACTCCCTGCTCTCATCACAGTTATGGAAAGAGATGCTCATCTGATGAAGGCTGAGAATTGTGACTGTCTGTGGTTAGAAACATATATTTAGAAGGTGGTCCATCACTGTGTTAATTTAACAAAACAAGTGAGTTAAGTTCCTTCTTAGGGCCTATGATCTCCCCTGCCGTAAACTTTTGAGTGGGTTTACAGTACCAGGTATGGATTCCCTCTTGTGGAGTGAGCTTCAAATCCAGCCAGAAAGCAGTTGGTTACCACCATAACAGATACACCACTATTTCACAGTTGAGCAGGTTGGTATCGTACTTTGTAGGCTTCATAGCTGGATAAGACCACTGATGCCTCTTCTCCCCTAGCATCTTACACAGCACTTTCTGGAAAAAGCTATAGCAGGGCACAGACTTCCAGCTCAGTTCTAACTTGACTTCTTATATCATGCAACCAAGATATGTCTTCAGCAATTAGGTCTTATCATCTAGTTCTGGTTCACAACCAAGAGCAACAGCAAGAGCTTGCAATGTTTTGTGGGCCTCTACCAACCAACACCTCTTAAAGAGTTATCCCACACTTGGCACTGGTGGTTTTGTTTAATATCTATCACTTCAACAAGTGCTTTTTCCAGCCATGCAGGGTACCTCCCTTCTCTTTTTTTTTTTTTTTTTTTTTTTTTTTTTTTTTTAGATTACAAGATTATAGGTTTCTATATGGCTTTTTAATACCCTTTTCATTTTGGTTGACCCTGTCCCCCTCCTCATGACCCCTATCCCCTCACTCCTCCCTACTTAAACTTCTCTATCCCAGTAGCTGTCACTCACCCTCCCTCCCAGCACCCCCACCCACACCGCAATGTCCTCTTTCTAGATTTCTAGCCTCTATGGGAACTCTAACTTGAATACACACAGAGATTCAAAGCTAGGATCCACATACAGATAGTGTTTGTCTTTCTGTGCCCAAATGACCTCATTCTGTGTGATTTTTTTTTTTTTTTCTAGCTTCATCCTTTTACCTGAGTTGTGCAGAAATTTCCTCTGAGATAAGACATCCGTCTTGGAGGGAAACTGGTTGAGACAGGATGTTCTAAGGGGAAGTAAAATATTCTATCCTGAAGGGAAGCTCCTTAAGCTTAGAAAATAAACAATGTAATAGCTTCAGAAAGTCCCTGAAACTGACCAGATTCATGAGGCCTCTTCTCTCCTTCTCCAATCATATATAAACTGTAAGGACAGCAGAGAGACACTCAGCTCATCCAAGCTGCCTAGAAAAACCAGAGACCAGCCCAGCTGTCTGGAAGAGGCTCAGAACAACTGAGCCACCTGGAAAGAACATTCTCCAACCTTGCTGCCTGCCTGTTGTGCAGTGCACACCAAGCTTCCTGCTTCTATGAGCTGTCACTCATGCTAGGGTGAGCTTTTGGTGATGCAACTGTCTTGGAGTCATTTCTGCTCCTGTAAGTAACCTTAATAAAATTCATTAGTTCACCAAGTAGGACTTTGGTGGTGTCTTTATCTTGGCCTTTCATTGATTCCTTATCTTGGTTAAGTGACATTTTGTTCTCATCTCCCCAGGAATAGTGTCATTCAACAACCTGCAAATTTCTTTTTTTTTAATTTTATTTATTATTTTTATTTTATGTGTATGTGTGTATTGCCTCCACGTAGGTAAGTGCACCCGTGTCGTGCACTGCCCATGGAGGTCAGAAGAGGCTGGAGTTAGGGACAGTTGTTAGCTGCCATGTGAGGTCTGGGATTTGAACCCAGGTCTTCTGCAAGAACAACCAGTGTTCTTAACCTCTGAGCCATCTATCCAGCCCCACAACCTGCAAATTTCATAATTTCATTTTCTCCTTTACAGCTGCATAAAAATTCTGTTATGTATATGTATCACATTTTGATCATCCCTTTATCAGTTAGCGGACACATAGGCTGATCCCATTTCCTAGCTATCATGAATAGAGCAGCAATGAATGTGAATGAGCAAGTATTTCAGTCCTAGGATATAGAGTCTTTTGGATATATGCCTAGCTGTGGCAGAGCTGGGTCATGTGCTAGATCTATTGCTAGCTTTTTGAGGAAATCTCCACACTGATTTCTATAGTGGCCATACCAGCTTACACTCCCACAGGCAGTGAGTAAGGGTGCCCCTTTCCCTACCCCCACGCCAGCATTTTTGTCATTTGTCATTTCATCTTAACCATTCTGACTACAGTGAGATGAAATCTCAAAGTAATTCTCATTTGCATTTCCCTGATGTTTAATGATGTTGAACATTTTTTGGTGTTTATTAGCCAATCATATTTCTTCTTTTGAGAACTCTCAGCTCAGATCTGTAACCCATTTTGTGACTGGGTTATTTCTTTCCTTGTTTTGGTTTTTCAGTTCTTTGTGTATCCTAGATACTAACCCTCTGTCAGATGTATATCTGGCAGAGATTTTTTGCTCATTCTGTAGTCTGCCTCTTCATTCAATTGTTTTCTTTGCTCAGGAGGCTTTTTAGCTTTATGAGGTCCCATTTGTCAATTGTTGGTCTTATTTCCTGAACAACCAGCATACTTTCTAGAAAGTCCATACTTATGCCTGTATGTTGTAGTGTTCTAGTTTGCTTAAAATTGCTGTGATAGAAAAACTGACCAAAACCAACTTGAGGAGGAAAGGGTTTATCTGGCTTATAGCTCACAGTCCATCATCAAGGGACGCCAAGGCAGGAACTCAGGACAGGAGCCTGGAGCACAAACCATGGAGGAGTGCTCCTTACTGCCCTGACCAGTGCGCAGCCTGTTTTCTTATACAACACAGCACCACCTACCTGGGGTGGCACTGCCCACAGTGGGCTGGACCCTCCCACATCACTCAACAATCAAGAAAATGCCCCCACAGGCATGGCCACAGGCCAGTCCAATGGAGGGAATTCCTCAGCTGAGATTCCCTCTACTCAGGTGTGTCAAGTTGACAACTGAAGCTCTCCAGCACATGTACTATTCTCTCTACCTTCTTTTCTAGCAGTTTCAGAGTTTCAAGTCTGTGATTCATTTGGAGTTGACTTTTGTGCAGGGTGAGAGGTAAGGGTCAAGTTTCCGTCTTCTACATGTGGACATCCAGTTTTCCCAACACCATATATTGAAGATGCTCTCTTCCTGAGAGTGTATTGTCCAAAATCAGGTGGCTATGATTGTACGGGCTTAAGTCTGAGTCTTCTATCCCACTGACCTATGTGTTTGTCCATCTCTGACTCTGGTTTTGTTCGTTCTTGACCAGACTGTCTGCTGGCTCTTGGTCACTGGCTGGTGTTGCTACCTCTAACCTTGGTGTCCCAAGTGCCGTTAAGTCTACTAAGCTTTCTCTGTTCTCACAGCTACCAAGAAGAAGCTGTGGTGTTCTTGGTTAGTTCTTATCTATAGGACGGTCTGGTATCTCTTTCCTGAAATGAGGGCAGGC